GGCCCTCATGCAATGGCCGTGTTCTCCCAAGAGACAGAGGAGAGGACACAGGCACAGAGGAGGAGCCCTGTGGAGACGGAGGCAGAGACTGCAGTGAGGGGCCACCACCCCAGGGCCACCTGGAGCCCAGGAGCTGGAGAGGCAGGAGGAGCCTCCCTGGAGCCTGTGCAGGGAGCTCAGCCTGGGACCCTGGTCCAGCCTCCGCCCTCCAGGGTGGGAGAGGAAAAGGTCCTGTGGTTTTCAACCACAGGGTTTGTGGTCATTTTCTACATCAGCCCCTGTGTTCCCTGCACTGGCCAAGTGCTGAGGGGCCTCCCTGGCACTCCCGCCATCTGCACAGTCCCCCTGTAGCTGGACAAACATGTAGTGCTGCCCTCCTACTCCTGGACCCTAACACCGTGGCCCAGAGCACCCCATGGCCCCTCCTTGACCGACTGCCCTGTGCACACACCTGTCTCGGGGTCCATGCGGATCACCCTGTCTCCGTCAATGCAGGCCACCCAGTGTCCCTGTGGTGTCCACACTCAGCCCATCTGGCATGCCTTGCTCTGGCTCCAGCTGGCACACCAGCCGTGGGTTTGCTGCGGCAGGACAGACAGAGGCGCATGGCCTCAACAACGGGAGGGAGTGACAGACCCAGTGGCGCATCTGGGACCCCAGGAGTGGACTCGCGAGGGTGTCGGAGGAGAGCTACAGAGGTACCCACTTGGGGAGGATGTGGGGGGCTGGCCACAGAGGCCCTCCCCGAGAAGGGTGTGGGGGGCTGGCCATGGTTGGTCCCGCCCAGTGAGGGCTTATGGGGCTGGCCATGGAGGCCCCTACTTCAGGGAGGGTGTCGGGGGCTGGCCACAGAGGACCATACCTGAGGGAGGGCGTGCGGGGCTGGCCACGGAGGCCCCGCCCAGGTAGGGCATAGGGGGCTGGCCACGGAAGCCCCGCCCAGGGAGGGTGTGGGGGCTGACCACGGAGGTTCCTATACCAGGGAGGGTGTGGGGGGGCTGGTAACGGTGGCCCCGCCCAGGGAGGTGTGGGGGCTTACCACGGAGGCTCCTATACCAGGGAGGGTGTGGGGGGCTGGTAACGGTGGCCTTGCCCAGGTAGGGCATAGGGGGCTGTCCACGGAGGCTCCTACCCCAGGGAGGGTGTGGGGGCCTGGCCACGGAGACCTTCCCCTGGGGAGGGCGTGGGGGGGGCTAGCAGTGGCGGCCGCTACCCAGGCCTCCTGTCTGCACGTCGTAGTCATAGGCCCGCACAGAGTAGTCCAGGCTGTCCACGTGGTAGAGAGTGCGGTGGTCCAGGGACCAGTCCAGCCCGTTGTGGATACCCAGCTGGTCCAGCTGTCTGACCACCGAGCGGTCAGCGAAGAGTGTGTACAGGGAGCCCTGCCCCGGCTCCCACATTCCTGGGGCGGACGCCTCTGGCATGGTGCCTGGAGAGAGTGGAAGGTCAGTGGGCAGCACCCTGCCCTACCCACCCCACACAGACCCGCTGTGCAGAGAGCTGTGGTCACCCTCAGTCGGGGTCAGCAGGCAGGATGGCCCTCAGGCGGCATCTGTGAGTGAGCCTCTGTGCTGGGCGAAGGGGGGACCCCAGAGATGTTCCACTGGGAAGAGGCCTGCTCAGGCAGAGGTGCTGGGCCCTCAGC